GACGTGTGTCTGCTCCCAGGAGAGGACCGGATTACAGGTAATAAAATGGCCGACCGTTGGTCGCAGCAGCATCTCTCTGATGCTGAACGTTTCCTCTAATTACTGAGATTTCAGGTTATTCTGGTTTGATTAATTTCAGTCTGTTCTTTACTTCTAATGTTATTAAATTATTGCTGCTTTCATCTCTGACTGCATGAAGAACTGAGCCCAGAGAAAAACACCCACAATCCTTTGCTGCATCCCTGTCAACTAACCACACCCTGACCGCTCTGCCCCTCCCCCTCCTAGAGGGGAAACAGGAAGTGGGTGGAGCTACAGCGCGGTTTGAGTTATCGGAGCGATGGCGACGCTGGAGAACAAATGATTCTACTGAAGGACAGGAAGTTAGGAAATACAAGGGCTTTCTATTCTATTCTATTCTGATCTATTCTGTTTGGTTCTATTCTATTATTTTCTATTCTATTCTATTCTGATCTATTCTGTTTGGTTCATTCTATTCTGTTCTGATTGGTTCTATTCTATTATTTTCTATTCTGATCTGTTCTATTCTGTTTGGTTCATTCTATTCTGTTTGGTTCTATTCTATTCTGTTATATTCTGATCTGTTCTATTCTGTTTGGTTCTGTTCTATTCTGTTCTATTCTGTTCTGTTTGGTTCTATTCTATTCTATCCTGAACATGTTGAAATATCTTAGTGACCTGGTTAATAAAGCTGTTCAGATCCAGAAAGTGAGCATAGATCAGTAATTGATAGAAGTTGAGCTGAGTGAAGGATCAGAGTTCAGAACGTCTCCAGCTGGATCCAAAAGGAAACGGATCGACTGAATGGATCTGTTTAGCAGCCTTTCTGTTTCCTCCGTTCAAAGCTGTAGGTCTGTGATGTTCGTCGTCATGTCGTCGTGTTGTCGTGTGGTCGTGTCGTCGTATGGTCGTGTCATTACGCGAGGCGCTGAAAGCCTCCAGAGACGAGGCGACTCTAAGCCTTTCTGTCCTTCCAGATCAGGAGATCATCTACATGTGTCCGTTCAGCGGAGCCGTGAAAGGGAAGGTGTTGGTCACCAACTACAGACTCTACTTCAAGAGCTCCGACGCTGTGAGTCCCGCTGACGGCTGCAGCCGTCCTCAGACACCACCTCCATCATCATCATCACCGCCATCATCATCATCATCATCATCTGGCTCTAGATTGGACCCCTCCCTCAGCTCCATTCTGGCTCCAAACTCTAAAGGGTTAAACCCGTCAGCTCAGCTGAACCATCAAACCAGCAGGAAGCTCCATGGTTAGAGGAACGCTGGCTGGGGACCAGCATCAGAGGACGCTCTAC